AAAGCTAAAGATCCAGCTCTTTCATGAATACCTACTAACTTAACTTAAAGAGCCCATATTATGCCCTTTTTAGGGTTCATATATTTAATCTATGTACCTACTAAAGTATGTTCACAATAGCTAAAGTTCAAAAAAAGTGTCTGTTTACGTTTACTGCCGCTCCATGCACCGGCTCGCTTCTGACTCTCTCTCTCTCTAAGGCTCTGAAGTGCCCACGTTCAGAGTCCCCACGTGTGCCAAGTCTGATCTGATTGTCGGCCTGTCAGCTCTGCCGTAATTGGTCAGTCACTCAGCCACTCTGGCTCCGAGGGCCGGGGAGCAAAAGCATTAGCACCTTAGCACTACTGCGCTACCGCAGGCTACGGCATATCGTGGGCATGCTACAGAAGTTAACACATGGAAAACACACTAAAGAGCATATAAAACCAGAAAAAGCATAATATGGGCCCTTTAATGATGATGGTCTTGATATTATTGATGATGATGATGATGATGATGATGATGATGGTAATGATGATGGTTTTTGTTTGATAACGACGACTTGCAAGATGGTTTCTACTATAGGTCCTTTCTATATTTTGAAATACATAGTACAAAAAATCTAACTAAAAGCCGAAAAAAATTTGATTTTTAAATGCAAAATACTCAAATTTCATACACCCGTTTCATCGTGATTAACTATTGAAATTTAGCGATTAATTGTGATTAAAACTTTGATTCGTTTAACCGCCCTAATATCTATCCTTCTGCTGATGTGCCTTTAAAATCCATTGCACTGCTCCCATCATCATGGGAGATACTTTTTCTGCTGAACTGTTACTATGTACCATGAAATACATGCAGATATCAAAATAGCACATGAGGGATCAACTAAACAGACTCAGCGTCGACCTTCCTTCTAAATCGACATATCAGACGCACCTTATAGCCGCAGATCAACATGGCTACTCACAGCGGTGATGCAGACTTTCTGCTTTATTTTCTCTTTTCTTATTTCATCTTTCCAGATATTTTATAAACAGTTTATGAAAACTGATGACAGAAAACTTTTGATCCTGACGAGAGACCTCAGGGTTTGATTTTTGACACATAGCAGGTATCATTGTAGTGTGAATAGAAGTAGCAATTATTTATTATTATTTAAAATTTTCTGTGATATAATTCACTTTTTAACTCAAATACCTTTTACCATAATTGACTGCTATAGTTCTTGTTTACTAAAACGACAAATTCAAACAAAACATACTATTATCTTATACTGTATGATTCATATAAATTAAAATGCCGAAAGCTTTGTAAAAAAGTGACTGCATTCTCCTGCTTAAAAATCTGCCTCAAAATATAAGAAATATATCCTTTATAAGGGAACACTGTGAGTAATGAGTTCTTTTACTTTTGATAGTTTAAGTATATTGTCTTGTCATTGTGGCATTGTTACTTTTTCTGAGATAAAGTATCCTAGAACTTCTTCCAAAACCAGAAGTAACTCCTATGAAAGGGTTGTTATCACTTCCTGTCCATAATTGTCTTGGTTCAAAACCAATTTCAAAGATTTTTAAAAACAGATTTTTTTATGGAATGGTGTCTGATGTGAAGCGAAGATCAGGGATAGAAACCCATAACATCAGAGACATCCAAACACATCTGACTACCAGGACCTCTGTTACTCCTTTCTTGCCTATATACTGAATTAAAGCCCGAAAAAGACGAATCTGTTCCAGATCAGTCAGTAACAACTCTGACAAAGATCATTTAAAATGCAAAGAGATGCCGTCGTTAGAGCTGGGCAGCTCTGCTCAGTGGGTCCCCTCTGCTCTTAAAGGGAAAGAAAGAGACAAACAAAGACGGGGAAAAAAAACTCAGGAATTCTACTCATTTTTTACTGTATGAAAGTTTCACAAGGTCGTCGGGAGAGTCATGTTAACACAACACCTGAATACAAATTTGTTTCCTTGTTCTACAAGTCACGGAGCTGCGAGTCTTTAAGCGATCATTATTACCATACAAATAGACAGATCTATTTAACAACCCCCTTTTTATCGCATAACACTTATTCTTTAGTGTTGCTCCCTGAAAGGCACTCAAATGCGTCTCCCCCTCCTCCTCTTCTTCTTCTTCTTCTTTTTTTTTTTTTTTCTTTCGCAGGGAAATCGTCTCCGGGTTGATAAAGGCTCAGAGCAATAGAAGAAGCAAGGCTGACATCTTCTTAAGAGATGATAGGAGAGCCAAATCAAATAGGATGGAGCAGTCACTCTTTTCACAGATAGGTAGCTCATTTCTGGTGGCTGAGAGTTTGCATCCCTAGTGGCGCTCTGCCTGGGAAAGATAGCTCACTTGGACTCCATTCATTATTTCATTCCCTGCCTCCTCTTTTCACATCTCAGCTACTCCCTTTTTTCCCCCCATTTTTTTGCTTTAATGAGTTGCCTATTTTTCTCAAGTGTTGATGGGGATCTTGGAATTTAGATTTCGAGACAAAATGTTTAATCACAAGCGTTTTCATTTGTGGAGAAGAGGCGAAAATCAATTATTTCTATTAGACAATGCTGATTGGAAATGAATGGAAGTGGTCGCGTTTTGAAACAAAGGCTTCATGGTGGCAAAGATAAGTGTCAGTCTTTCCCCCCCTGAGGTACAATATGTGGTTTGGCTTAATAAGCAGTTTGCAAACATTTACCGTTAAACTCAAGCAAAAGCTTTACCCTGCCAATACAAACACTGATAAATAATTCATGATAAGAGTTTTCATAATTCAGTACTTGTAGAATATGCGTAATCAATATATCACCGTAACAAAGAGGCAAAGTCAAGCTAGAAGTTTTGCAATCTTAAGATTTTTTTAAGCATGATAATTTTCAGTGTTAATATATCTGAAAGTCCTTTTTTTCAAGTTTTACAATTCAAAGTTAAATATCCTTTATTTAATCATCAGTTCTTCCGGATTTTGAAGTATTAAAACTTGGTTCAAAAGTTGCCGGAACTTTTCCAACACACTATTTACAGCCAGACTTAATCAATCAAGCACAAGCTCCATATGATATTCAGCCTGGCACTTCCTGAAGAGCACTTTGCTATCACACCCGTCACATTCTTCACAAATCCCTTTGAAAATTATTTATAAAAATTAACTTCTCTTGCAAAGGACTCATTGAAAAGAAGAATTACATGAAAGATAAAACACTTTATCGGCAGTGAAAGACTAGACAATGTACGTCGAGAAATTGGGAAGATGGCAGAAACAATGAATATTAAGTGCCAAGGAGTCTAAAGCTGCTGAGTAAATTGAAACTGTATATCCTGAGGGGGCAAGGTTTCCAAATTGCTAATTACTGCCTCTGAAAGGGGGCCGTTTCAGATATGTTTGCTTGTGAAAGGCTTCTGCTTAATGAAGGAGTGGCTCAAGTTTTTTTTTTTTTTTTTTTTTTATATATTCCCACTCTCCAGCTTTCAGGGCTCTCTCCGGACTTTCCTCCCAGGCCAGAACAATGGCGGGCCCAGGAGCCCAGCTTCCCCACAGGCCCCGGCGAGAGAGGGCCGGGGGCTGGGTACTGAGGGAGCTCCTCAGCATGCTGAAATATGGAGGCGACAGATAAGGTGGCAGAGGCACAGAGAGGCCCTCTCCCAGGGGCCCAAGGGGAAATTTGCAGTTATTAAGAGGAAGATGAGAGCGATTAAATGGCTTTTGTGCTTGTTTTCACAGACTTCTATTTTTTTTTTTATATGGGCTGCCTTCATCTAAAGGAATAAAGAAGTGCTAAATGACTTTCTGTTTTATTCAGCATCACACCGGCTTTGAAAGACAATTGTTCATTACTGATAGCTGTTACATATAAAACAGTAATTCATACAGGGTTTTAAATGTTTCAAAGGTAATATAATTAATGCAATAAAAACGTATCAGAACCTTGACATGGTTTGAGATTTTGTTTGAAGATATTAACAGCATGTTACAGATTTATAAGATTAATACTTAAACTGTTTGTAATAGGAACTTGTCATACGTTTGTCAGGTTCGACTCAACTTGTGCTTATTTCTGATCTGATTGAACTACTAGTACATGTTTAAATCTGTGATTAGTGGACAACCCATTCTTGCTGCTCATGTGAATTTAATCATGTTGCACTGAACAAGATTGGAAGAGCTTCACTTGACAGGATAATGATGATCATTCATTACAGTAAAGGATTGCATTTTTTAACTGTAATGAATCAATACCTAAGTAGGTTCCAACAAAATGTGTCATGGTAAGTTTAACAAAGTGTCACTGAGAAGTAGCTTTGAGGAGGGTTTGAAAGAAGATCTTGTTTCTTTAATATTTTATTTCAAATGTCCCTTGTTTCCTAACGTTTTGTCCTCATGATGTCATTTCCTCATACGTTGTCTAAAAGGATGTTTTCTATGTGGACTTATTGCAAGAAATCACAAGTTAGAAACTCAAGCTCTGACACTTTGCTTATTTGGTGGTGTTGAGTTTAGAAAAGGTTTTATTTTTCAGTGGATTGTACTCTATCCCAACATACAGAAAATGTAGTCACACATCTCAAAATGACAAATCAAATGAATTCCCTTCCTATAGGTGGGCTGGGGTCTTTTGTAGGGGTTGACTGGCTTAAAATTGCCTATAGGCTAAATATATTTGGCTACAATCCCAGCTACTGGTCTGATAGTTTAAATTATATACAAGTGGTTATAATAGCCTACAAGGTCTTCATTACAGAAACAAACTGTATAGACTAGAGACTATGAGCTACTGAAGAGAATTGTGCAGTAATACATGGCCTATGGAAAACTGCATACGGGGCATTTTAGGCATGTTCTCACCAGTAGAATAATAATTTCAAAGCGGTTTGTATGAGTGTTATGGTGACCGATTGGGGAAGTTAAATGTCTGATCTACAGCTCAGCAGACTTCATTCCTATCTGCATGAACACCGCGGCGGAGAGGTGGCGGGATGTTTTGCAGCAGAGTCACAGAGAGGAGGAGACACCTGATTGGCTGGAGAGCGCAGGGCGGAAGTGCGTCTGCTGTCCCAGCTGTACTGAAAACAAAACAAGACGAGCTGCGACTGGTGAGTGCTCACAGTACACTGTATGCCTTCACCTACGTCATTTTAATATAAATAGAAAGAACCTTATCGATAAAACACGTTTGCTCTGTAAAACGCTGTTAAGCTGTCTCTTTGTGTTCGCGGCTAGTGAACTGAAGGAAGGTGTGTGTGTGTGTGTGTGTGTGTGTGTGTGTGTGTGTGTGTGTGTGTGTGTGTGTGTGTGTGTGTGTGTGTGTGTCTGCGTCTGCGTGCGCCGTCCTTGTGCTGCGCTCACGTGTAAGATGTTGTTATGTAACAGCCTGCACACAGCATGCAGACAGCTCAGGCTGCCTCTGCTTTGTGCTCCAGCAGTGATGTTGTACAGCTGCTAAATATATATATTTAACTTGTATTGCAGAAGCTCACAGTGTGAATTATACAATCTTACATCTCGAGAACAGAATATTTTACAAGATACGTAAAAAACGCTATCGTAGAGGTACATGCTGTAGTCACATCTGAATCCAGAGATAACCACCGCAGCAGGAAAATCTGTCAACTCCGGTATCAACAACAGAACACAGTCTATTCAATATCAGGGTCTTTATTGTTTTTTTTTGGAGACATGTCATGTCACATTAGTTCAGTTCAGCATTCCAATGTACAAAGAAGTAGTTGGTGATGTGAGGCTCACACATAAGCATTATGAAGACAGTTAATGTAATATGTGTTGAGATTTTAAAAAATATTGCATTATTATTTTCTGTAAATCACATGAAACATTGTATGTTATACCTGAGGCAATACAACTGGTGTTGTTATTGATTTGCTTACATTGCCCTGAGACTCAGAGTACTGTAAAATAACAAAAGGACTCAAGGAACAGCATGGCAAGGTTTCTGACAATAAACCTTTTTTTTTTTTTTCATAATTGGATATACTGTCCCATCATTATTTCATGTTGGCCTATAAATGAAACTCAAAATCCGTTGGTAATGAAAAGGTTATGGAGTCAGTGATGTCACGATCAGTTTTCTTGATCTAATTTTATGGACTAACCCAAATTAACTTGCCCCTCAGAAACGTTTTAAAGTGTGTAAAGGTTCAGACCCTTATTAACTGGTAATGGAAAACCTGGTATTGACAGTGCTCTCTAGAAACTCGCATATTGCTATTTGTTTTGATGTCATCAATGGTGTTGAAAGCTTTTCCTTGACATGATTAAGGGCGCACCCACACTAGGCCCTGTTGCTCCATACCAAGCTGAAGCACTCCCTCCTCAGTCCCCTGCTGGCCTGCACTCACATTGCACGAGGGCCTGAGCACAGTTACTTCTTGTACATATACGTCATCAAGTCTTTTTACTAGATGGTCACAGATTTTCCCAAAGACCCCCGAGTTCATTTGGGTTTTATCCAACTGACTCTGAACGGTCGGCCCAAATTTGAAGTTAACACTCGACCTCTGCATCAGACTGACATGAACCCACTGTTTAAGTGATTGTGGATAGGAACACATTGTGAACCCGTGCTTGTACTCTTGCAACTGTAATTTCCCAAAAGCCACTTTTTCCAACCATGCCAGGGCCAAGGAAGTGTACCATGCTTTAGCACAGTATGGACACTTACACTAGTCAAACTACTCAAATTGGACTTTGGGGAGTTGAAGGTGTTTGGGCACAGTACGGATTGCTTAGTGTGAGTGTGCCCTTCTGTTCATTCTGTTATATCGTGTGTCTTTGGTTTCCAGCACCATGATGGATGAGCTGGTACAGGACCTGGTGTCTGCTCTGGAGCAGCCCTCAGAGCAGAGGAAACTGTGGGAGGAAATGGTCCTGAGTCCGTTGCAGCGACGCCGACAAATCCGCCGTCGCAGAGGCCGCAAGCGCTGTCGGGATTCCTCCCTCTATTCTCTGGAGCACAGACGATACTGGATTGAAGCCTCTGAGTCCAGCTTGGATGAAGCCAGAGTGTTCAGAGGGAACTCCTCCTCAACAGTCGCTGCCTCATTAGCCAACTGCAGTGACTCGGATGACGTGACATCAACCTGCCGATGGCGCTCCGTCATGAGAGGTCCAGTCAGGACTAGACAGCCCTCCTGGCCAGAGTCTGACTCCTTCACTGAGAATAATCCTGGACGGCAGCTCAGGAGGAGGAGAAAGGTCAAAAGAATGACCCCAGACATCACACTAACGTTGCAGCAGAAGTTGAAGGTTTCAGGTGTAGATAGGAGGCGGAGACACAGGCCTTCTAGGATTCAGCATCTTTCCGGATCTAAGAAGAGGTCTGGTGGTTGGGTTGCTGCAGATCACCAGACTGAGGGAGCAAGGCAGATGGGAAACGAGTGGTGGAAGAGGAAGATGGCCAAGAAACACCGAGATGCTGCAGAAGATAACATGTCTGAGGGGTAATGTTAGATTTCAAGGATGTATATTCATGATTTCCTCATCTTTTTGTGGTTAAGTAAGCAACCAGACCCCTCATTTATTATAAATCTGTTACATTTAAGCCCAATAAGACAATATCCAATCCACCTCTGGCGTCCCTTAAAGGTTTTATCAATATGAATTGCATGCATTATGTGTGAAAAATAAGCAGTTCCAGTTTCCAAAAGTCTAAATTTGATTTGCTGTATTTCAGCAACAGTTAACCCTGTCAATGTGCAAAGAGTCAAGATTAAAAACATGTTGGAGAAGGAGCTCTAAACTCTAAAAGCCCTTTTTACCCTTTAAATGGAAAGTTACAAAGGCAGTTAAACCCATAACATAAAAGTCATGGGCATAACTAAAATCAGACAGAGGCAATTAAACAAGGCGACATTTAAGATGATCTATACTGCTTGTCTTCATGGAGCCACTTGTCAATATTCAGCCTGTCCTCAACGAGACAAAAAAAGAAAGTATAACAATCATACCAGCCCACTTTAAAGTATGGAGTAGACATTAAAAATGAATGATAGAGTCTCTTCATCTTCATCTCCTATAGCTGAAATGATCACCAGGGAGGATTCTTTGATAGTTATGCCTCCAGGCATCTGCAAGCTCATTATTTCCTTTCAAGAAATATTGTCACAAATAAATAAGTGACTTGGTGTGCTATTGATTTGTTTTGAAATGAATTCTTGTCTCGGGCTGGGTAATTAAAGCTGGGCCTGTCCCAGTGTCCCAAAGTGCACCCTCTTGTGTGCATTCTACTTAGTAAAACTAAATGTGGCTCTCAGTGCTGGCAGATAGGGAGATTATACCATCACCGTGAGGCAGAGGTTATACTGTAGAATGAGGAAGAGAAAAAATACTGTTAAGAGCGGCAACTAACAATGACTTTTTTAAGTTGTCTTGAAAAAGGCCCATCATTATATCCTTTAGATCAAATTTTAATTTTGAATGTTTTGTCAAAGAAACAGTCAAAAACTAAAAGACTTAAATTTGCAGGATAAAGCAGCTTTATTCATACAGCATCTTCCAGTGAACAGTCATCTTGGTCAATAGTTTGTTAAATAATCCCCCCAAAAATTAAATTTTGTTGCTGTGTGAGGCTGAACTTTGAGTTAAATGCTTACTTTGGCAACATAAACATCTATTGACAGACTAAAGTTCAGTGCCCTCATATGATAGCATTTGCTTATGTGCCCTTACATTTCTTCGCAGGACAAACTGAAGTGTCTGTAAAACAAAAATATTTCTCTGATTTTGGGGCACTTAAAAGGCAAAGCACAGCTCAGTATGCACGTACAGTAAGAGGCTCTGAGAACAAAATGACAAGGAACTCAACCCCATGGTGGCGCTGGAGGGAAAGACAAAGCTCAATCAAACTTATTATATGAGAAAGTCTTTGTGTGAATGAATGATTGTACCAAATGTTCCAATGCGTAGAGCAAACTTTGAGATGTTTCAGTCATAGTGATTGACCAACACACTGACTGACATTGCCAAAAAACAAAAAAACAAATAATCTACACATTTTAGCAGTCCAAATCAGGTATGTTGCATACAGATGACACTGACTAATAAAGGATCATAAAAACAGGCAAAGATAAGGTAACCTCAAATGTTTCAGACCTCATCATTACCATCACATATTACCAAGGGGAATGGTTGTATTTTTTCATGGTACAAAAATATGTTCTTGGCTTTAAATATCACCCATGGTCCAAATGTGTAATAATGTAAAATAATCAGATAATAACCGGTGGGCATTGCAGTCGTGTAAGTATAACATTCAATAAGTCTTTTAAGCCAGGGAGCTCCACTACCCAAAGCCCTGCCGTGCTCTGGCCCGAATGTATTTCCTCTGAGAAGAAGACATTTGAGGTAACCGGTAATGGGACAGACAGAAGGCTTTACATCTTCTGGTTTAATTTGTGCTGACCTCTCCAGCCCCTAAATGGTACTTGTTTTCTTACTTTATGGAAAAATCAATAGCCGTTCTGACAGAAAACAGCTCCGGAGAAGAAATAAATGGGAACACCATGGCATGCTGTCAATCATTTCTCACTTACACCAGGCCAATGCTCCTGATTGCTGCTCAGTAGACTGCCACAGTAACAAAGGGCTGAACAATCTAATGGTTAAACTGAGGCAGGGGCAAAGGAAATGAACAAATGACAGTGATGAGGGGTTGACAGTGGTACAACAGAAGTATTTCCACTCAGACAGTGTATGGTTCAGTGGATGTTGGACTCAGATGCCACTGTTGAAATGTCTTTTAAAACACTCTTTATTTCTATGCCATTCATTTTATTTACCTTTTTTATGAGGAGTGTGCGGTCTCCACAGCCTCTCCTCAAGGTCACTCCTCTTACTGAGCCGAGCTTTGCCTACAGCCACGCGAGTGCAAGGAGAGCAGATGTTGGCAGCTCCAGTTGGGCTCCACATCCTTGATTAGACCTGGCCCAGCCTGCTGGCAGTGAGGCCACCTGGCGCCCAGGCTGGCCCAGCAAGCCGGCCTCACCTGTGGGGTAGACGCTGTCCCGGGCTCAGCGTCCGTCTCCAGATGTGAGCTGCTACTGGTGACTCCAACCCTGCCACCAGAAAAAAATAAAAAGCCCCTGTGTGTGCTTTTCTCACACTCAGCTTCGTCTCGCTGTAATGTATATTTTGCAAACTCTACGAGGAGTTTTTTGGGGGGAAGCAGTGCAGCATTTGCTGAAGTTAATTTTCATAAATCTCTGAGACTAATCCAATTACTGCTGCTCAGGGATGGTGGGATAACCTTATAATCAGACGCCCATGGAAGAGGGCATGGATTCGGGTTGGGGTGGCTTGTTTGAAGAGCCCACAGATCCATTGTTATCAGCGCTTTGCCCCCCTCCGTCTCTGCCTCTTCTTTATTCCTCTGTAGAATGAGCCCCGGCTCAATAAATGGCGGCTAGGCTGTAATCTCTGTGCAAACTGCTCTGCCTCTCCCAGGAGCTGGGGATTATATCCTAATGATTAGTGCTCATCTGGATACTGTGTTTTGCTTCACCTCTTTGGCTTGTATAGAGACAATAGAGCCATGTGGGGTTCGGCTCTAAAATGCTGGAATGCACTTTTAGTTTTTGCCCTTGGCTTTGTTTCACCATGGACATATGGTGCTTTATCTAATTAAGACTTATTTGTTTCTGTAGCACTAATCCACAATAGAATATCTTATTTTTGACTTAAGGGGGGGGAAGTACTATTTTATGCCTGCGTGAAAGACTAAGGTTGCCCTAAATGTTTGTCAACTTTTCTTGCCAAAGGTCACTGCTGAAGAAAGCAGAGGTGTTTCTTTTGGTCCCTAAGAAAAATGGTGGTCTCAATTATTCATGGCATTAATTAGGTAGTACTTAATGGAAATGGTCTCACATTGGCCCTGTGCCGCTCCAAGCGACATCACATTACACCTTTAATACGGATAAATTCTTAATGTTTGTCTCTAATTAATTGTTAATACCTGTGATTCTTCTTTCAAACTTTGCAGAAAGAAGCACATCCATATTTTTCAAACTTAGAAAGTCGAAGAAGATGTCACACTTCAGGTCAAAAATCTTTAGACACAAAGTGATAGTTGTTAAAGAGCTCCTTTTTTTTTTTTTTTTTTCACACTGATGCTGGAGTGTTGTGTGCTCCAGTGGCCAGCCAATGTGTCCAGAGGTTGGGTCCAGCTGAGCGGAGGCCTGGGGAATCAGCCTGGGATGACTCGGCCGGGCCAGACATCTTCCAGATTCCCCGGAGAGGCCGGCTCCCACTCACATCTGCTTCTCTCGGATGTGAGATGGAGATGATGCAGGACCATCTGGCCAGAAAGATGACGTGTACGCTTTACGGACGTCTTTCTGATCCTGCCGTCTCTTGCAGGCCTTTGCAATATGGCAAAGCACCGTATCAGCGCATATCTGACCCTCCAGCTTTTTCCTGTGAGCAAGGTCAGCGCTGATCAACAGGAAGCAAAATGCAAGGCAATCAGGAGCATCGGGCTCCACTTATTTTAAAGAGAAGTTTTAATGAGCCTTATTTCATGTTTTGATTGGCATTATTCTACATCTGATAACTAATAATAAAATACAGTTGAAGGTAAAACAACCATGTCAAGATCAGTAAAGAATAAAATAATGTTTAGACACACTCTTAATAAAACAACCACTTCAAAATTCACAGCTATGCACCTCAGTTTTAGGGTTTAGAGTGCGTTTGTTGGTTACTATTTTCACCTGCGGATCAATACACATTAGAGAGAATCAAATATACTGTGTACAGGAGTGAGTGGAAATAAACCAATGAAGGACCTCAATATTATCCTGTCAGCTGTCCTTTAAGCTGACTGATATTAAGAATAGAACTTTAAAGAACACAAAGTGATTATTAAGATATTTATTGAACAGATGTGCTTGTTGTTACATTTTTTTGAAGGATGCAAAGACATCAATTTGACAATTTGGTATAACTCAAGACAGGACATTGTTTTTTCCAGCTCTTGTCACCCCACCCCACCCCCACCCCCCATCCTTCAAATGACCTTGGAGTGTCTGGAGGTCCTTGTTCAAGGTGACAGAGGTGTGAGAAAGGCTGAAAAACCCCGGGTGGTCTCGGGTAGCAGAGGGGGCACAGAGGGTGAGGAGGCAGTGTAACAGGGGTTGCCCGGGGGTTGCCGGCAACGGAGCAGTCTAGGCAGGAAGAAGCGACAGCCCACACAGCAGATGCTGGCCAGTTGTGTGGAAGCGGCACGTCTGTGGGCCACTTTGTGTGTGGGGCACACCCAGAGGGAGGGGGCGGGCAGGGGGGAGTGTGTTTCGCTCTCCTGTCATCCTCCACAACGCAGGCCAGATTAGATTGGAGCTGACAGCGGAGGATATTCAATTAGATTGTGCATGTCACTCAGTGGCTTCGATCAGAGCCTCTCCTCATGCCTTTGTGTTTGCCATCGCGACAAGGGAGAACACGCCAGGTTCTGTCTTTTTGTGTCATTTCCATTTATGTCGACCTCTAGCTCTGGACTTCTTCATTATTTTTATTATTGAATGTTACATGTTAAACATTGACATTACGGGGGCTTGTAAATCTAAGATTCACATTGTTGGCTTTTCAGATGCTATAACATTGTCTGACCTAAAGATTCAATCCTTTGAAATATGAAAAATCAAAACGTCTTTATTCTCATATGTCATTCAGATCAAAGAAACAGGTCAGCGAAGATCATTCACATGTGGTGTTTTTTTTTTTTTCTCAGGGAAACCAGCAGCACATGCAGCAGTGACCCCGGCCTGTTCACCAATGATGAGGGAAGACAAGGTATAAAAAAACAACAACAACTCAGACATTAGGGGAACTACAAAGCGCAACAACTTGATCTCTTCATTTTGTTCAAACTGGGTTTTACAGTTTGATCTAATGTTGAGTATTCAGAACCCACTTTTTGAGCTTCCTGATCATTGAGAGAACGATGAAGTGTTGTCAGGTTTGGATGACACCCTGCCCAACTGAGGGAATGCTGAGGCTATACAGAGGGAGGCTTCCATACAATTGTCTGGTTGCTGGGCACCCAGGCGACTCTAATAAGACGTTGTCATGTCGTGTTAATGAGCGCTGAAGCCTTTGCTAATCTCATTAGCTGTGGTGGGGCCAGGCGGCCTCTGATTTAACAGTTGTCACTACACCTTGACTGTGAGGAGCATGGTTCCTGCATGTTCCTTTGCTGACTGACAGGTCTGATATGGGCTGGTTGTCTGGGGACAGGACGGGTGTTGTCTGCTGGTCTGGTAGTGTGTTAGGGCTGCAGTTTGTTGTGCACACACGTGTCAGTGAAAGCTCCCCTGAAGTTTCTCGGAGGCGCCACCAAACATATAGAAGCTTATCTTCTATTGACTTCCTAAAAACACACCCTGCTATCACAAAGCTTCATCACTTTTTGCATTAACCAACAAAACACCCGAATGTTAGCCTAATGGAGCAGAGAAATCTGATTGCAGCTCCACACATCACTTTTTTTTATCAGGTTACAACTAGATAGTTGCTATGTGTTACTTTACAGCTAGCACAGCTAAAACCATGACAAGACATCAGTTCAGGTTTTCCCGATTGACTTTTACCTTAATATTAATAACTCAAAGAAGTGCTAAAATATATTGAAGTTTGAAGGGGCTATATTGTATCCAACAACAAAAATCTTCTTCGGCTGAAAGATTGTTATCTGAGCTTTAAATCTATCTTTCCGTGTAGTTTTTATGATGTTTTGTTTTGCTCAGGACAGTTATTGTAGAGGGAATTCAGGATTTTTGTTTTGTTTTTCCAGGCCAAAGGGACTTTGTAGCGCCTGCCTGATGGCATTCAAATTGGGGTTAGTTCAGGGACAAGACTACTTGCTTAAAGATAGACTTTTGGGCTGAAAGAGATTAGTTGTGTTGTATTATCCAAAAAAAAGCGCTCTAAGTACTTGTTGGAATCATTTTGAACAAGCATTTTAATTACTGACTTGGTGAATTGATGTGTCTTGGGTGCTGCCATGACTCATGTGAAGCCTTGAGTTTTTTATTGTAGGAAAAGTTAGGTTTGTTGAGTATGAATAGGCTTTAACAGTGACGTGGGCTGACACAACATTTCCCCTGTCATAGGCGATGACGAGCAGAGTGACTGGTTCTTTGAAGGGGACTGTGGAGTTGGAGCTGGTGTGGCCGGCCTGCTGCCCAGCTGGGACTCAGACAACCAGCTTTCCCTTGAGGATAATCCTTCGCCCACCTTCCTGCAGCCTGCACGGCCCTCTCAGAGAGGTACTGTATGAGGGCAGTGGAAAGGACTACTGTAGTTGAAATGTGTGTGTTGTTCCATAGAAGAAGCAAGCCAGGTGTTGCATGTTGGATTTGTCTTTAATTAGTACATCGCTTCCAGTATCAAGAACATTACTTTGCATGATAAAAAATGACCTTGCTGCACATTATTTTGTGTATAAGTCATCACTTGACTGCAGAGCCATCTTGATCTATCAGTGGCAGAGGCGTTTGTTTTTCCTGTATTTCTGAAACATCTTTTCTGATCCTTTTGCAATTCCAGGGAATCGGTATCATTCACACCTGAAACGAATGCCTGGCGCTGCCTCCTGCTGCATTAGGAAGGATAGAAGACGGCTGCCCAGCAAGGTTAAAGCAAGCAGACATCTTCCTCGCTAGTATAAAACAATTCAGTTTTTATGGTGTTTGTTTCTTACTCAGGCTGTTGGTTTGTGTTTTTATAGGCAAACAGCATGCCAGTGTTTGTCAAGAGACTCCGACACTTTTCTCAAGATTCGTACCAGAGAGAGTAAGATATACTGCCTTAAAGTCTTTAAAACATAGTAGAACTATTGTGTTATTAAATTCATCTGTTTTCTTTTTTAATTGAACTTCCATTTTCTTCTTTTAGTTTTTGGCTGCCTTCTGTTGGGAAACGAGAAAGATCCCAGGTATGTTTTTATATCGTATTTTACTTTCACTTTTTTTCAGACTTAAATGGTGTCATTTAAAAATCTAAATCTTGATTCTCTCAATTTCCAGTCGAAGCCTTTGTGTCCTATTGACATGATGTCAGAAGCTCCCGTCTCAGATGTCCCTCGTCAGTCTGCAGAAACAGGTAGTTGACTAGTTAAACAAAGTCATTAATCAAGGGCCTTTTGGAGACGCCATTCAGTCTTTTTCAATCAAAGTTCAATATATTGATGGACCATGCTGTTGCTGTGTCATTCAAATGAAGCAGAGCACACGTTGTTAACTAGACCAATCTTGTTCAGTGTTTCTGTGTATGGAAGTCGGTTAGTTGTAAAGGACTGAAAATGTTTATTTAGATAGATAGATAGATACTTTATTTATCCCGAGGCAAATTCAAAGCATCCAGTAGCAGTTTACAAAAGACATGCACGACATGAAACATTTGTTACCAATAAACATAAAACCGCTGTCCCCCCTCCCATACATATATATTAACCCGAAACAAAAATGTAAGTAAGCCCCTACATGAAATAAAATGAAACCTGTGCAATTAAAATAGACTAATACAAAGAAAAATGTACATAACCCCGTTCAGGAATATATATATATATATATATATATATATATATATATATGCGCAATTTAAGTGGAACCTATAAACTGTTTAAGGAACACTGGAAAAATTAGACCTGTGCATAAAAATAAATAAAAGTGTAGACCTTCTGAAGTTTAAAAAAAGGGAAATTTTAGTCCATGAGACTAAACAACTTCAGAGATTGACTGTAAGTCCTGTTTGCTGCAGAATGAAGTGTAATCAATCTATGTCTTAAAATAAGGATAGTCATGTTAAATACACTAAAGAAGGATTTTTAAATGTATATGTGATGCATACTCCATGCAGTGGTACATAATTGACATGGATAAACAGATAAGAATGTGTGTACACAAACATCTTGATTCATTATATTTTACAAATAGATGCATTTCTGCAATTCTTAGTCTTCCTTTTTTTAATAAACTTGCATTTTATTAAGGTGACAAAATGTTGTATTGATCCTTAAACACGATTTGGATTCCAAAAAAGGCAGTGTTTCATGTTTTACCAACATTTGAGTAATGCATGGTGTGTTCATTTGTCAATTTGAGCATTATGAGAACAGTAGAACAGTTTAAAGTTTGTTTTTGAGCTGTTAAAGAGGCCCTCGGGTCTCCTTGACACCGAACAGAAAATAAGTGTAATGTCAATCCAGGCCTGAAGTATAAACTGAAGCTACGACAGACAGCTACAGTCAAATACAATAATTCAATAGTTCTCAAGGTCAGTGTTCCCAAATAGAGAAATACTTTGTGTTTACATAGTTGTAATGCAGATTCAGAACCCTGTATTTCTGGGACTGCACAAAAAAAATAAAAAATAATAATCTTTATCCAGAAGGTGTTTGTCAAAGCATCTCATGGCTCCCAGTCATCCCTGGATCTGTTGGATCTGCATGGGGGACTGTTGAGAAGCCGCTTAGCTCCCTCAGCCTCAGGACTGCAGGACTCCTCATTGTATTGTTTTCACTCTGCCTATTTATGGTGCATTCTTAATTTTGTTTCACACACTCTTTTTCCCGCCTCTCTCTTGGGTTATTTTACAGAGAGCTCCAGCACTCCTTGATGAGGGGCAAAAACACGACTGCTATGAAAAGCCCCCGACTTCTTAGGGCTTTCTTTTTCTAAACTGGCCTCTTTCTTCTCCACCTGAAAGGTTCCTTCAGATTCCAGTTTGAGGCATTGTGAATACTAATTTCTCTCTATTAAAAAGCCCTCATATCCCTGCCATGCTCTCATTTGAATGGCGGACTCAGGGGAGACCTCTTAATTCCTTTATAGTGGGATTCAAGACCCTTCACTTCAAAAAGTATAAATCATACTCCCAAATGAACGAGGGAGAGAGAGAGGGGGGATTGACGAGAGGGGCTTCTGATGTGTCCCGTCGGACGGCACAAGCTGAATCCATCTCCCCAAGCTGCTCAAATCCCTTCTCCAGTGAGAGAGCGTCTCTGTCCTCACAACCCGGCTCTGCACACATGGCACCCATCCACTTCCTTAACTTTACCTTAACTTCCTCCAAAACACACACTCGCATGCAAACACAACAGAATATTAAGAAATGTGTTTGCATGACAACGAATAGTGTTACAATTCCTTTTAATAAACTTTGAAACGTCCACTCCTGATTTAAGTTAACTATATTTTCATTTCATCAGAGCGCCCTCCCTGCATGATCCATTTCAGGTCTACTAAGCTCCCTTATATTTGATTTTCTTTGTTTCCAAACACCCCTGATAGAAAAGATTTTTCCTCCGTGGGCAGAGTGTAAGCATTAATCTTGTACTGCGGCCAGGTTGAAATGATACTGTATTAATAAAAGCTGTCATCTCCTGTTTGCCGCTGGTTGACGGCCACAATCAGAGATTTGATGCTAAGTGATAAAGGCTGTATGAGGTTGCATGCTGTTTATCCTCATATCGGCTTGTGAACGGGCGCCGTGCTTTGTGGGATTTGGCTGTAATGCTCGGGGCCGGCGCCCACGTTAAAATGCATAACTGCCTCCCACCTGAGCCAGGCAGCAGCAGCTTTTATCTATTGACTTATTTATTTCTAAATGACACTTGTGCTGTGAGATAAATCATAGTCTTACGCCACTCCCTTCCCAGTTTTCATTTTAATTGTGAGATCTCGGTGTCAGCAGTAAGTATATTGGTGTGAGTGGCCTATTGATTATTGATTTGGGGCTATTGATCATGTTCCCTGGAGACCCTAATCCTTTCTGATTCATTTGAATACCTCTATTAATCTTGAGATCCTGCTCACACCTGAAGCGCTGTGTACCCTAATGAAAATAGATGGCCATTTTGTAACTGCTCTTTTGATTTATTATTTTTAATTGATATATTTGCTTTTGGATGTGGCTGCCAAAATTACAATTGACCCTGTGTCAGTGCTGTTTTACTCTGTACCCTTAGGGACCGCGCAGCATTTAAAAGTGTCTCATATGACCTGAAAAATCCATCTTGGAGACTTTTTCCTCAGTGTCCTTGTGTCTTTCGAATTCCGTTGTTGTTGGCCGTCTTCATTACATATGAGCTGTGTTTTTTTCATCGCTTAATGCTTCTGAGTCACTCTTTGTTTTCTCATCACAGTTTTTGTATATTAAGGGGACAAAACAACGGGGCCAACATCTGTCGAGCTTTTAAAAGTGATGAAGGAACAGATGTTAAATATAAAAACAGTGTTGTTCATTTTTTACAACTTGTCTCAGTTTTACACTGAGCTGCGTAACAAGCTTATAAAAAGCCTTTGGGTTCTGTTCAGAGATGAATGGTGGTGTTTTGCCTTGGTTAATGAGCCAGCTGATGGTATTCTCATGTTTGATTAGCATTGTGCTGAGCGTCTCTGGGCTCTGGTGGCCCCGCAGCGGCTCTACCCCTCAGCTCTCAGCAGCAGGGGAGGGCCCTCACCTCCCTCCAGGCTGCAGGGGCCCCTGAGCCACTCGGCCTCAGTGTAATGAGGGAGGAGACGGAGGGATGGACCTCCACACATTAAGACCAAATGCATCAGGGTATTACTTTTAATACCTCAGGCGTGCCTCGTGAAATAATGCGACGTTTAAACGTCGATCGATTTTGGAATTAAAAAGTTAGTTTGCAAAGATTTACTGTGGGGAGTTCAATGCCTGAGCTCTTTATCAGGGGCGCAAATGGCTGGTTATGTGCTGTCCGACAGAGGTACGATTGAGGGATCGATAGGCGCGTGATTTACTAACTGGAGTACAGGTAATCAATAAGTATAAAAGTAAATGAAATATGCATTACTGGGATTTTATTAGAGAGGGGTAGCAGGGAGAGAATAACGGTCACGCCATTTATTTTTATATCTATTGATTATACAACATAGAGACTTCGCTCAAAGCATGCCCGGCACAGCTCCCGACACCCTGTGCCTGCACAGCCGTCATGTGATTTATGGGTGCTGAGGTCACAGAACGCGCTGCCTGTTAAGAGGCTGCCCTGACGGGGCCTGATTGGAGCATGTGTCTGTTAGAGCTGTGAGCTCTTTGTAGCCTGCAGACTAAGATAAGCTGAGCTGGTTAACAAGGAGCTCTCTTCTGTTCTGAAATCTGTCATAAACTCATTTTTACAGGTTCTGTTTTATGCATTTCAAACCAGCACGTAATGTTGTTTTTTAAACATTCTCTAGCTTCTAGTTTATTATATCTTAACGTGCAATATTGGAACTCTGTTCCTGCCATCACATCTTGTTTCTTGTTCTTTTCACTCCACCTCCTGTGCACAAACATACCCCAGCACATCAGCTGTCCCCCCCCTCCACACCCCACTAGTGATGGAACGGACCTTGACCTTAACTTTACATCTCCGAACCCAGTGCTGTTAAGGGGGTGAGGGGGCTTTTCCCATCTCAGGGCTTTGACATATGACACAGGAGGCATAGAGCAGGTGTGATTTGTGCAGGCACCACTCCTCATCCAGTAGTCCCTTTGGTGTTAACATGTATTAATGAAGGAAAATGAAGGTGTAATAAAATATGAACCAGACTGAGGGAAAATGTAGTGATTAAAAACACTTGCGTTTATTGACTTATGTGAAATTATAACATTTCTATATGTTTAATTGGAACTTGTGGGTGCAGCACTATCATATGGTTAGTATCATTTAATCTTTATATCTGTGTGTCCCACCAGGCAGACTAACGTCTCTCTGGGACTGTTGAGCACAGCAGAGTCCAGGAGGAGGGAAAGAGGAGCTGCAACTACCACAACATCAGGTAACACCATCCACACATGAGCTACTATTGAATCTCTGGCCTCTCCATACCTCTCAATGGAATTACTATTATCAATTTTCATTCAACACTTCACATAGTGTAAGTACTGATGAAAGTCCATTCTAATATAGACTTATTAGGCACCACCATCGGGTCAAAAGTCGTGTAAAGCAAGTATTAACATTCTAATTTGGTGAACATTAGAAATTAGTGTTAATAAGTGGGGGTACGCCTGAAAATAAATCATGTGGGGGACAAACACAAGCAAGAGTTATTTTTTATAGCTATTTTGCTAACATACGTATTTGATTATTTGCAGGTTGTAGTGGCTTGATTGTTCCCACTCTAAAGGGAGACCATGACAGAAAAAGTTTGAGAAACAATTAGCCGACCCAGCAGGTTAACATAGTTAACCTAATAGAAGATCATATTAACAATGTGATCACTATAAGAAAGTATGATGTTAGCATTTGATGTTAGCATTTAGCTCAAACAGTCACTCTGACCTTGTGCAACCCCACACAGCACAGTTAGCGGAGCAGGCATGGAAGTAAAGTCTTAAAAAAATAAAAAGAAACACGTTTTAAGCAGAGGAAAAGACACCGTTCGACTTGCTAGCTGTGTTCCGTTTGTTTGTAATGTGGAAGAAGAATAGTGTGATGTGGAGTTCACCCTATTTGAGGTGGCACTGAGCAGCAGCTGTTGTGTCTGTTTGGACCAGTGAAGCTGCCTTTTTTCATTAGAGTCACAGCTCGGGGCCTTGTGTCGTTCCCGGATTGAAATCTGAATTGGTTTGTCCACCTCTTCTTCTGCTCCGTGCCCCCTCTCCATGCTCCAGCTTCTGTTTGTCATTTAAATAACAAATGCTGGTGGTTCCCTGATTTAGTGAGGGCTACAGACCTGTGATGTATATTAATATCGCTGCACAGTGCACTGTACCAGGGTCCATCATTCATTTGGATAAAAGAGGTGGAATTTAAAAACAGCCAATGCTTTACTTGGATACAGATTGCATCCATTTATTGCACTGAGTGATGGAACGTCTGGCGACTCTGTCCTTCACCTCCCCAGCGCTCAACCACTTCCCATAAAAGTAAAAAAGGATTCACCCCTGGCCCCTAAGGACCCCTCATATTCAACATGCGGAGCAGGGGCATCCCTCAGTTTTTCGACAGTTAACAGACCCAGAGTCAGTTGTTAAAGGTGTTAGAGGGTGACGAAGTTGGGGGGACGCTTTAAAAATCAAAAAAACAGGTACCTGATTCATTTTCTTCTGAAATATGTTTTTTTGTCATCATGCCGAAAAAGCTAAATGGAAAGCTTTGACTATAAAGGATTGTCCTATAAGATAATTTACTGTCAGTGTTCTGGTGTAAGTTTCAAAAATAGAATGCTTTTGCAAACTTGCATAAAGAGATTTCCTGATCCTGACACACACACACACACACACACACACCAAAAGCCCCGCTCAGAGTGTTTTCCTGCTCCTCGAGTCTAGTGCCCCCTGTCCACCGTGATTTATCATGCATCCCATGTCGTCCAATGTCAGTTTCTGTAGCTGCAACTGCTCTGTATAAATCTTTACGTTGGCAGCCCGCTGCACCATGTCTCTCCTCAGTAATCTCAACACTACCAGGAAATGCACCCTCACTCTGACAAGCTTTCACTCTCCGTGTACAAATTTTATTTTTTGTTGCCATTCTGCCATGAATGTATACAGAACAGAAACAAAAAAAAAAATCACATTCAGTGATTTATTAGTGTTGTTTTTTTTCTTCTGGTAAACATCCTGTTTGCATAGAAAGACTCCAATTTGTAGACAGAAAAGCATGGCTCCCTGTGTTGCTCTTAGTGAATACGACAGCTGAGTCTTTGTTTGAGTTGGCCAGAGGAAGTGGATTGTTGTATTTTTTTAGTGGTTGATTTGAAACTCTGTAATCAGGAGTGAAAATAGTCTGCAGTGCGAGGTGTCTCACAGGGCTCCGTTGGGAATTACTGAGGCGGTACCCAGCTGTTGCTTCGTCTTCTTTTTCTTTACCCTTTTAGCACTTCCACGGCACTGCTGATGCTGGCTGTGAGAGAAAAGAAAAACTACAAAAACACTTATCAAGCCAGGTATCTGTTTGGATTAGATCACCGCTCCATTTCTCAGCCTTAAATTGCCTGTTTTCTGCTTTTCACACCAACATCAATCCAGCAATCCAACTCAATCCAACAGGTGCCGACTAGATTTGGAACAAAAAATGTTTCATGTTCTGTGTTATCAGGTGTTATTTTAAAAAGTACAGATTAAAATTGTCACTTTAGCTAGATCAATTTGTACATGAGAAATAATTTCTTTGAATATTTTATATCTTTTAAAATTTAGAAGAAAACAACATGTTTCCCAAATAACTTACAATAAAATCAATTCATTTTACATTCACCGTGGTTTGAGAAGAGTTATTTATAAGGCAAAGATGAATCAGTGAGTGTAAAGATCCTGATGGATTTTAATAGCCTTGGCTGATCTCGCTCACAGACTAATTAATTATTGCAATCTTACTCCTCCCCTGCTGTCGCTGATAATGCCCTTCATCTCTATCTCTATAAAGGGATGATGGCAATAAACCAAAACTTGAACTTATCCCGTGTGCTGTATTTCAGTCAGAGTTAGAGTTTGGACTTAATAAGCTGGTTGCAGTCAGTGTGATTGACCTCGTCAGACTGTTAGTGCGTTATCTCTGAATGTCGGAACAGAGCCCCATGCTGGTGCACATGTTGAGGCCGGACCCCTCGGTCAGCTCGGTCCGCCTCTCCTCTCCCCTCTCTCTTCATGTGTCTCCTTGCCCGAGCAAGACGGCTGCTTGACAGATCACCTGCGTCGGAGGCCCGCCATGTTCCTGCCCGGCGGTCCGGCCCCCTCTCATTAATGCCCAGGCTGGTGCGAGGGGCCGTATGGCAGCACAAGACAAATAACGCTACCACTCAGCCATCACTTCTGCTGACAGAAATGCAGCCCACCGCACTATTTCGCCCTCTCCGGCTCCACTCCACACCCTGCTTGCGTCCTTCAAAGAAAACCCCTACCTCGCCCCCACCCATCTCCTCCGTTTCCACCTGCACCTGCCTGCGCTGCTCCACCAAACTTTCACGGTGGTTTTTTTTTTAGCTGTAGCTGCAGGGTGAGCTTTTCTCTGGGACCCACACCCAATTTGACATAGTGTAGCCATGGGCTTTGCTGCTTTTGTCACAACTCTAATTGTTTTGTTTCATATTTAAGGGGCCAGATGAGTTTAATCATAGCTCAGGCTGTCAGGTGCTTCTTGACTTGTTTGGGAACAGACCCTCTCACCAGGAGGTCTGATTTGAACGTCCTATTTTGTCAATTGTGCTGTTTAAGGAATCACTCGTTAGTGTGTGTGTGTGTGTGTGTGTGAGAGAGAGAGAGAGAGAGAGAGAGAGAGAGAGAGAGAGAGAGAGAGAGAGAGAGAGCCGAGGAGAGCGAGCTGCAGAGAGAAACACAAAGGCTAATCATTAAAGAGCTATTCAACCCTGTTCATTTAAGTGTGGGAATCAGCAGGCCCATTACTGTCAATGTGTAATTAGCTGATTAATAAACAGGGGGAAGGGGAGTGCTCCAGGAAGGCCTGTAATGATTGTTTTTAGAGAGCATCACGCGAGAGCTTATTAAGATGGTACGATGGTTCCATTCAGCCACCCATTATCACCCACAATAAATGCATGTACTGTAATTCTCCCATTGACAGAAAACCTTTACGTTGTAATGTCTTTATTGACCTTGATGTGAAACCAGTTGAGTGGAGGTGTTCTGGCCATCTTTTATGTAAGCGTTTGATTAACGTTCATCACTTGTGTTTCTTATAATAAAAAGATAAATATTTGTAATGAGATGGTGTATGTGAAGGTCTTAAATGGGTTTTTAAATAGCAGAGGAACAAAGTATGTTAACTTAAGTGTAAATGAGTGTATTTTTAGATTGCACTTTGTTATTCACTAAACGTCTACTGGCTGCTTTAGTAACTACAACTTCGGTTCATTTCAGAGGATTTTTCTTCTTCTTATTAAAACACAATGTAAATGAAACAAGTAGTCCTCAAACATTTGGGCCTGTTGGTGTCCTTGTTACTCTGCAAATTTCAGATTTTCAGACCGTTTTATTTTATAGACGGTTTGAAGCCCAAAGAGTGATTTCACAAGATTAGAGCGATTATTTCCCAACGTATCATGGAAACCATTCAATAAAACTACATCATTGTGAATGAAGTAGTTACCAGACTACCACAATTAACCTTCCAAAAAAGCTAAATGCTGCTTAACCATGCATGAATCAGTTAAAAAATCACATAACACAATTAAGAATCAATAACCAAGTCACATGGGCCATTTCTTCAGCACTTTTATAATACAAACAGTAACTACATGTGAGAGAGCGCAGGACACTTACTTGTGATGTACCATATTTAAATTGCTACTATTGTTGCGCAAGAATAGCACGCGCACGGTTTTCCACTGTACAAAGAGCTTCGCAAGAGAAACTTGAATAAAGGCCCAACAATCAGCAGGAATAATGTAACGATATTAAATTATGACATTCTCTTTTTGAATCATTAAAAGTTTTTTTTGTCTATTCTTTCAGTGAAAAAATGCATACTGTGTCCTGCTGGTGACCTTGAACTACAGCAGATGCTCTTATCTGCTCTGCCCAGTACATGTTAACACACCCACAAACTAAAATGTTAACAGGCTCTTCTTTGTATCGGTCTAATAAGAAAAATGCTGAATTTTGATCCAAGCCTTTGACTCTGTTTAACCTGAGTGTTTGGGTTGAACCTCAGCAACGGTTAGTCATCGTTCCCTCAAGAAATATTAATCAATTATCTTGCCCGCCGGATCAGTTTGGGGAAGAAGTCATCTGGAAAGAGGCACAAGCAGATATAATGGGAAGGAGCAAAAGCACATGCCAGTGAATGCTGTAATGCCTAATCCTTTGAGACAGCCCAGAGCCACAATGTCACTTCTAGTTCCCTCGTCCTCTGCTCCCGGGACCGCCTCCCCAATGTCTTGTGTGACCGCCGCGAACTTCTTTTTTGGGTCGAGATCAGGAAAGATTTATTTATCAGGCATGTTAGGGACTGCAATTGTTTTAGAGTTCTTCTGTCTGCTGCAAAATTGGCTCTGGTTCACTTTCAGATATTTCCCTTCACTCTCAATGACTGAAAGCTTTAAAAGTGAGGTAGATTAAGAGAAAGAGGATGTTAAAAAAAAAAAAGAGTGCGGTCAGTGAGATGTGAACCTGTGATGAATGGAGTTAAAAACAGTTAAAAACCTACAGCTTCTTCCACACCATAACCAGAGAGGGGGGAAGTTAAGCCATAAGAGCAGCACAGATTGGCCTTTTAATAACCATGTCCACAAGTCATATGGGGCCAAATTGGATTTGGCTCACTTGACCAAAACCTCATTAATATTTAACCTATTAGATGAGGATTGCTTCAAAGTTTTATTTTAATATACCTAAAAGAATGGGCGATCCATGAGTCGTGGGCCAAATTAGATTTTTATTTGAGAGGCTGTCCATTGAAAATGTGATTTATGTGCTTATCTTTTACTGTTTGTTCTTTGTGTTGTGTTACACGTCTAGAATTCAATATGGGCTTTTTTTTTTATCTCCCTGCAGCTAGCAACCCATTTCATAAGGATCACCAGGGGGAGGAGGCACAGGGAGCCAGCAACACCTCCACCCAAGAGGCTGTGGGACCAAACACCAAATTTTCCCAGTCATTCACCTCTGCACATCCTGAGAGTTTATCTTTTCTTACAGCGGGGACCATAAACGAGGCTGGACAGACACACCTAAGTCTGGACGAGCGTGCTGAAAGCAAAGCTACAGAACCAGAGGAAGAAAAGAGTGATCCTCCACTTCCTACGGAATCTTAAAGACAAAGAAAAAATACAATCATTTCTCCTAAAATCAGCATGTGACTGCCAGATCCACTCTTTCCTGCTAGTATATTAAGCATGACAAATGTTAATGCAATCAAGCCTTGTTAACCCTCCGCCATCTCCTCAAGGAAGAAAGCAGCTTCAAGAGGCCCCTTGTTTGACTCAAGACTTGACAGCTCCTCCTGTTTCCACACACATGGTCTCCAGGCCACCTGCTACCATAAAATACAGCAATTATGTCCACTCTAGTAGCACAGCGATTGTCAGTGGGAACACTGGGAAGGGGGTCAGGTAAATGTTTGGCGGCTGTGCAGTTTTTTTTTTTGCTCTAAGTTCAGCAGCACGTAGCTAGCTTCCAGACACATTTGAGCATCAGAATGTTTAGCTGCCACATGCTGCTACAAAGTTCAGAGAGGCAACCACCGGTAGAGAGCCACACAAAGTACAGGCCTCCTATTAACATGGATTTAAAAAGCTACAGTGTGTACAAAGGTGCTCATTAGCACAACACAGAGGGAGTGTGGTCGCCATCCTCGGAGGCCTGCCTCTGTTCTCCTCAGCTTACCTTCCATATTCAAATTTTGCCCAAATGCATTTAAGTTCAAGGCCGGCTGCAAATCCGTTTGAACAGGCCTTTTTTTTCGGTAGTGGTGGATTAGTTGCTTTTGGCGCTGTGCAGAGAGAGGCAAAGAAAAGGAGTCAGAGGAGCTGCTGGAGACAGCGAGGAGAGTCGTACACCGTCTTTTCACCTACCCTTGGGGTATACATTTCTCTGACTCGTGCCCCATCAGATGCATTAAAGGATCAATGGCAGCATACAGTGAGATCAAACGCTAACAATTTTCCAAGCTGGAAAACAAGCCGCATTTTTAGAGTCTTTTTTTTTTATTGTAGTAAAGTGGACTCTACAGTATAGGTGATAAGTGTTGAAGTCTTTTAAAAACAGAAGTGCTACTTCTGCACATAACCAGCTTGCTTGCAATCATCCTGAAAAGTATTTTACAGGGGCAGCCGTTTTCTTTTTTGTGTTATTTTTTTAACATGCCCCCCCCAAAAAAAACTTGTATCTAAAATCCTCCTAGTACATATTACACAGGTAAGCACTTACTATAATAAGCGCATAAGAAACCTTTTTAGTGAATCCAACCGTATTACATTCAGCTGCACACTGCATGTCTTCTTAGACACCTTAAAGTCTTATTTAAGAGAAGAATCTCTTTAGTAGAATGAGATTTGCCAATTAACATGAGTTATATGTCTGCAATAATCCGTCTGAGAAGGCTTTATGTGATCATGTTGGCCAGGGATGACATTTATAAATGCTGTGTGTGCACACTCGTCTAAATGGATGCCTCACACAAGACATCCTGCCACAGGAATCAGTCAAAGTGTAGAGGAAGGCAGCAACCCCCACCCCCTCCTGCCCAAGATACTTTTCATGTATCTGCTGCTCGAGCTGGACCTTGGAGTCCGATTGTGTGCTCTTCCCAGCCCAGGAAACACAGCAGATTGATAGAAATATCAACGTTTGATCGTGGTAATAAAAATAAAAAAGAGAGATTTTGACAAATATATTGGGGACTTCTTTGAGACATATGCCCCTTGATGCTGAGGTATTGACTGTATGGTATTTTCAGAAGCTCTTCTTGCTGTGGCATTATCTGTCAGTCTGTGTTTCGGTGACAAAGCCTTGACAGGGGAGGAGGACGCAGCATTTCAGATGGTGTTACATGAGAAGTATGCATGGGAAACACCTCACCTGCCTCTCAGGTAATTAGCAGCCACCATATCGACATCTCAGACAGACTGTATGCCCCCAAAATGAATTTCCAATGGCCAGGAAGTTGGGAGAATGGCTTCCGCACAGCCAGTCAATTGCCCTGTTACAGTTAAGGAATCCAGCGGCTTGGTACCACTCATATTTCATCCAAGGTAAAGATTACCTGTCAGGCCCATGGGAGATGTATTGATCTGTTTTCCTTTTTCCGCCAGCAATCACCTGACAAAGGCACCTAGGAGGCGAGTGAATGAGTGATGCCTGGTCTGTCTGCTCCAGCACCGTGGCTGGTAGTGTCCACTGATGGGTGGAGAAGTGATGAGGAAGAGGAGAGATAATGCAGTCATAAACTCTGTTTGAACCTCCTCTGTATGCATGCAGGGCAGCCCCCTCGGTCCCCTTCAGGGTCACAGGTCAGTGGGGAATTTGCTTTTTTTTTTGTGTGTGTAGCTCCTTTCTTGTCAGTGGCGTTTGTTCTTGCTGTGTAGACTGTAGTGATGATAGAAACACATGCAAAAGAGGCTCTCTGGTTCCTGCTGACAAATGCATGTTGCGAGTCACCGTAGTTCAACTCACTTTGGGTTTCAAAAGAATCCCAGTTTGATCCGGAAACCCTGCTCACAATAAAATCCAACCTTGTGTGGTCAGGGTTTCTGGTGACTGTAAGTGTGGCAATACAGCACTATCAAGAATCAATATATTATACAATATGTAATGTGTTTTGGCAGCTAAAACTGTATATATCTGCCTTGTTCAGTTGAATGTCAGAGTCAATTTATGAGATGTGCATTTAAAGTGATTTCACTGTTTTAAATGTGTTGTATTTAAGCATCATAACAGGTTCATTAATTGAGGATTTTGGGCTGAGGACATTAAATTAAATTTAATAATAGATAAAAGTTATGTCCCTGTTTTTTTACTGGCGTAATTTTAAATTCATTTACAAGGATTTAAATATATCTCCATGTTATCAGTGCTCTTAGGCAGCTATCCACATTTGATATGTTGTACAAATAGCATCTTATCTCACAGGCTGTTATCTTTATATTTAATAGGAGCGGAGGCATGCCTAATTGCTTTGCAAATGATCTAAAGAGGATTACTCCTCACTCAGAAAGCCTGCATGTTGTCGCTAGATATTAGAGAGACATTAAAATTTAAAAAAAAGGAATCTGACCTGCAGTGCAGCGTTTATGAACTGTCAAAATACATGTCAGTACGAGGTTGATTCTCTGCTGTATACACATAATAATGAACTATTATGGGTTCAAACTGTTTAAAGTTTGTAATGTGTTAGACATTTGCCTGTTTTCAAAATGATGCAACAGGATTTTTCTAATGATGTAATGTCTTATCTTCATGTCTTGTGATGTTGAAATCATGTTGAGTATTTATAGGAATAAGTACTACAGTATCTATTTATTTCAAATGCTGATTTGTGTGCAATAAATGATTGATCATGATTGTGTGATTTATTCTTTGAGTGAAAATGTTACAAGTACGACAGAGCTTCTAATTATGTTGAACAAATGTAAATCTGATTTTACTCCTAATTTACGCAGTGACGTTAAATTGAGGCGAGTGATGATGACGTTGACCTGTGCTGCATGTTGTGCAATTTGAGTACCTGTGTGTGAGTTTTTAAGTTTGGGACAATATAAAGACACTGCAGTCTTAACTGTTTCTAGTCCAAGAGTAAAAAAAGCCAAGTTGATTCAGTGAAATATGACAATTTGGTGCCAACCAGCTGTTTGTGGGCAGCGGTACTTTAATCATGAAGGAGAAGTGACTACGGATTCATGTACTGCCAATTTGAGAATGCCGATTGCCAACGAGGCGAGACAGTGCGATGCGTAACATTGAAGATAATAAAGACGACAATGAGGACGACGAAGAAAGGGAATTTCCACTGCATAATACTGTAACTTAATGGTGTGTACTTAAAGTAAGCTACTTTTGTAATAGACGTGCTCCTTACGCAAATATACGCTTAAGTTAACAGGCTGCTGCTAGTTAACTGGAGTTGTGTGTTATTGTTTCAGTAGAAAGTTGATTGTAGCTGCTCTTTAATTCTATGAATGCACCGAAATAGTTTTTGTTTGGTACCTTTAGTAGTGTGCATCTCTAAGCAGGGACCTAGCTGACTACCTCCACTTGCGCTAGAAGTAACAGTAAGGTCACAATACTCACCGTATTTTTAAAAGTATTAGCATGCTAACATTCGCAAATTAGCATTCAAAAGTCAACGGTCGATGTTCATAGGAATATAATTAGCCGAGAGCTGTGTAAAAGTGTCACCAAGATCAACTTGTGTACCAAATTTCATTGCACTACATCCATTAGATTTGGAAACATTTAGCTCTAAACTACAAATGTAACAGCTCATGGTGGCACAAGAGGAAGAATTGGTAGAATCTATAGGGATCTAAATTATAATGGCAACACATCCAGTAGGTGATGAGATATTTTAACAGGACTGAAGAGGTGGACAGACCCAACAGCTGACAGACTGACTTCACCATCCATAGGGCTGCTCCTGGAGTGACAGAAACCCCACAAGATTTGACAGCGGCCCTGCTGAATACAGATGTTAGTGTGGCTCACAGAGAAAATACTCCCTTGGCTGATGGAGATTATCACTAGATCCCCCACTGTTAATCTTGCGACTGAATGCTGGAGACGGCCGTAGTCATTCGGCCAAGTGTTGAGAGTCGGAGCAATTCTCTCTGCTCACCAGTGGTCCACGGTTACAAATCACATCATCAGCTGTCTGAGCACCAGCAGCCACCTCTTCTCCACCAGATTGATGGTGAAATAGAGGAAAAATCAATGGCTTCCTCTCGTCAGAAAGAGCCAGCTCTGTCATGTTTGGGAGTTTGATGTTACCCTCTCTTACTCTCCCTCGGCAATGGGAAATTGAAAGCTGAGTTTGAACAAGCTGACAGACGTGAACAGACTGAAGTGGCTCAAGTCGATTTAATGACCGATTTCGATCTGCCACTTTTACTTGTGAGGTTATCAGTTCTGCCTTTACAAAACACTTCTAAACCACTGCTGAAGATCACAGTGATCAGGTTGAGTTAGTTGAGTTCCTTTTTAAATGATAGATAGTCTTCAAACCGACTTGTGAGCTCCTGTGTAGGTGACCCTGTGAGTAACAGCAGTCAGCTTCCTTACTAGTCCCCCCCCCCCCCCCTTGGAGCCCCCCTCCATCACTTCATCCTTATCACCGCTATGACACACTGCAACTGTGAAGCCAGGTTTCCTTTCACTGCCTGCTCTGAAATGAGCAAGCATCACTGAGCTTTTTCACTCCGACACATATACCCCTCTTTAATGGAAAATTCAAATACCACATATCAGCTGAATGCAATATTCACTTAGCGAGAGATAACACTGTTGCTTGATGTGTCTCTTGTATCTGGCTCAGAAAAGGCACTGCTCCGTCGTTTACCTTATCACCGCTATGACACACTGCAACTGTGAAGCAGGTTTCCTTTCACTGCCTGCTCTGAAATGAGCAAGCATCACTGAGCTTTTTCACTCCGACACATATACCCCTCTTTAATGGAAAATTCAAATACCACATATCAGCTGAATGCAATATTCACTTAGCGAGAGATAACACTGTTGCTTGATGTGTCTCTTGTATCTGGCTCAGAAAAGGCACTGCTCCGTCGTTTACACCCGATCTGACTGTGAAACTTGGTTTGTAAATTCTGGGTGTGTGGCCTGTTCACTCTGCTTCATTGGTGTGTGCATACATGGTCCTCTAGTGTATTTGAGGGGGAGCAGATTTCAGGGCATCTGTGCTTGTCCTGCGGTTTCTCATGTCCTTACACCAGCACCATCCCTTTTCATTTCTGCTGGCATTCTAATCAGAGCGTTACGAGCTGCAGCGGGTGAAGTACGCAGAAAGTTGTGTTTCTTGACAGCCAATAAAAACTGTATAATCTCCCTGATTCAAGTGGCCCATTTAAAAAAAAAAAACACTAACTAGTGCCATCACTCAGACCACCCCTTCCCTTTTTCTTTAATGCTCTTTTTTATTTAATATATAGCCCATGAAAAATGAGAGACTCCCGCTCCGCTGTGTAGATATTTTGTTGCTGATGATGCGAGACGAATTTCCATCACAGCTTTGTTTCCAGCGGGTGAGCGGATAATCTTTTACAGCACAGGGAGGGAGGGCCCTGCTCCCATCAATCTCCGGGGCTTATAGCTGCTGCATGGTTGCCTTACCTGACCACAACGCCTGCACAGTACCACACTAGTGGCCCACTCAGGGTTAGGAGCCAGAAGGGGATATGGCCACACTGAAAGATCACTCAGAGAGCTGCCACAACCCAAACCCCTTCTTAACCTGCAGCACACTTATGTTCCATTATTCCTTTCATTGTTATTATATCATTTTTCTAACAAGACGTTCGGTTCGGAAAGAGCAGCATTTCTCTCCTGCTGACAGCGGTTTAAAACTATGTGTGCAGCCAGGGGCCTCAGCTGCTCCTTTGTCTACACAGAACCGCTCCAGAGGCTTTTTAACCATGTGCATGAGGTGTTGTAAGGCAAAAGGTTTCAGTTTTAGTCCTGGCATCCTGCCTGGCCAGCCCCCTTGAGAGGGGCGCTGGTGGTCCCCGTGCTGGCGTAATGGCAGCTTGCTCGCTCTCTGCACCCCGCTGCCCTGGCAATCGCCTGCTGTACAGCTCCTTCCCGTGGAGACGCCGGCGCTCTGATTGACAATAATGGGAAGTGGCAGAATCGATGGGAGACAAGAGAGGGGTGCACGTGAAATTCTCCAGGAGCTTCCAGTCACAGACCAGAGGCTCTGGCACCACTCACCTGTCATCCCCGCTGCACCAGGATTAGGGCCTGTGACAGCGAGAGACGCTCGAAGAGGAAGATGCAGTGGTTGTCATCGTCACTGACAGAAAGGAAGTTGTGCCTCTCCTGCACACTTAAGCTACATAGATGTGACAAACTCAAAAATAACAAGTTACTGAAAAGGACTACAAATGTCACTTGTTTTCTTATCAGGAATGTACAGTTACCCCCTTTTTTTCTTCCTTTTGCAGCATGGAAATGTCACATAGGACTCCAGATAGGACTTGGTAAAATCAAGCAAGCAAATACAGTAGACTCTGGGTTTTGGCTCCGTTAAAATAACAGGGAAATGTTAATGGAGGATTGGAATGTCAGATCACTCCTTCTCCCTTTGACAATTACGCCGAGCTGGAAACAGCCAGTTTCTTCAAGTGGTCCATGAAGACCTGGAGGCTGACCAAGCTGCTCAAAATATTTTCTGTCAGATGCAAAAGAGGCCAACATCTTTACCAGGAAAAAAACATTCTTACCTATTTAGACAAGAAACATTAATAATAAATAAGCAATTGATGTAGAGTAACATGAAATAATTAAATCTTTGGGACTACTGGTTGTTGAATTTTTTTTAATCTGATTACAGGGATTAAAATAGAATTGCACTTTGTACTTTGTCATGCTAAGTGTGTGTCATTGTCTGTGTGCTGCAGCAGTAGATGGAGGCCATGTGTCGTGACAGCAGGGGCACTGCGTTCTCTAATTGATCAGCAAAAGATGCACATGAAGAAGACGTTAAAGCAAAATGAAGTCATAACAGTGGATTGAGACATTTATTAAGTCAGACGAAAGGCCCTCAGAAACGTTGAGATTGTTTATTGATTTTTGTGTTTTGGCTGGCTGCGCAGGTGTAATCGCTCGTGCTGCCACTGCTGCTGCTACTGCAAAGGCTATGGAGGGGGGGCTCCAGTGCAGCCAAATGTTCAGGTGGAGTGGAGGTGTTGACTTCCTCCTAAAAGAGGCAACTTTAACCAGTAGAACACAGAGCCGTCATTACCCCTGCAGTTTTTTCATCGTTTGTTAAAAGGTCCTGACCTGGTATGATGTCAGTCAGTTAGTGAAGAATGAGGAAGGTTGCTGATATGTTGGTTGCTGCTAAAAGTTGTGCTTTCAAAACATGCTTCAGCAATAGAGTAGCCCGCAGATGTCTACACGGACTGGTTGCAAATAAGCCATTTCTGTGTATGTTCTTCATGACTATGTATAGGCTAAACAATTAAAAAAATCATAGTTCAATAATTGACTTAAATTACAAATAAAACATTTGTTTGTTGCAGATGTATTTAAGAATATAAATAACTGTAAACAACAGTTCCTATTTTATTTCTTAGGGAAATAAAACAACTCTCCCTCCGTACATATATGTGTGTATATGTGTGTGTGTTTTGAGCGGAGCTGCTGAGTGTTAGGTAGAGTTCAACCATACTAGTGACATCAATCTGCCTGTTCTTTATTAGACGGAGCAGTGAGGTGTAACTGACTGCATTGTCCACAGATGGACTGGGCCCCGTAGCACACGGGACCCTGGTCAGCCACCCTGACAATACAATCAATAACCACCACTCATTATGGGAGCCCTGCCTGCCTT